CTGCCTTGGGGAACGCCTGATTTAACAGGTGTCATGTCAGAAAGAGTGTTGTTAACATATACAGCCTGGTAACGATCTTTTATGTAATCTGAAACCCAGTTATAGAGGTCCCCTGTTATGCCATAACTATTAAGAGTGACCAATAATTTGCTATGGGAAACAGCATCAAAAGCCTTAGCCAAATCTAGGTGCACAACTGATACTATTTTTCCATTGTCAATTGATGCTGACCAATCAGAGAGATTTGCCAATATTTGTGAAGAAGTAGATTTTTTTGTACAAAAGCCATGTTGATAAGAAGATATAAAATTATTGGCATCAAGATAAGTAAGCAATTTGTTGCAAATCAACCTTTCAAGTACCTTGCTACTAACACATGTTAAGCTAATAGGTCTATAATTAGAAGCGTCATAGGTGCTTCCTTTTTTATGAATGGGAACTATATGGGACAATTTCCAAATTTTGGGATTAAGGCCAGATTTCATAATGTCTTTATAAATTAAAAATAGGGGAAGACTCAGAGAGGCTGCGCATTTTTTATAAATTATTTGTGGAATGTTATCGGGACCAGCTGAAATGGACGGCTTAAGTCTATTTAAGGCATCATAAACATCCAGTAGTGTTATTTCAATCTCGCAGAGAGAAGTGCAACAAATTCGATTTACGTTAAAACAGGAAGTATGAGTATTATCTTCAATAAACACACTAGAAAAATACCGATTTAATACATTTGCAATATCAATATCAGAGGTAAACACATTATCATTATGTTGCAGAATTGTTTACGTGGATTTGCAAATTTTTTTTTGATATAGGTCCAGATAGAATAAAGGACGGTGGATTGCCGGTATTTGAAACGATGTTCTACCAACCCTCTTCTTATATTTTCGATAATTCGACTTAAAATGCATTTATTGCTCCCAAGTCATTTTCCTTATATAGATCTTGTCAGTTTCATGCAGATATTGCCATAACTTTGTATGATCTATGGAGATTCCGCGATAGAAATTGCTATCTAGTACAGAATTCTTTCAACGACAATTGACTTTATGATCAATCTGATTAGAATGTCGGTTATCTGGAGATTATAATGCGACTAGATGTCTTCAATGGGAACATTGCTAGCAAAAAGTTCATTCTCTTCGATAAAACAAAGGAGGTGTTACCTATGCATCGAACGCTCATGCCATATTTGCCGACTACAGAACCTGTCATGCCAACACCATGACCCATTTGCGCATTAAAAATCTGATATAATCATGCCACCTTCCAAGAGAGATGTTTTTAACAATTAGGATTCTGCACAGAACCTATCTTTATCTCGGTCATCTGGATATAGTACGCATAAAGTATGGTCGAGTCATTGCAGAAATTCCCTTTGAATCGGGCATAAACCGCACATTCGTTAACTAGCTTCCACGCATTCACACGGAATCGAGCTCTTTCAGACATGACAATCGCCATTTCGTCCCGAATTATCCGAAGCATCACAATAGTAAGCTAGTACCTATCAGGTAATTGTACGAGGTTCGAAGTGGGAAGATATAATTCTGACAGGCGATGTCTACACGATAACTGAACAAAGTGTAGATAATTGTCCTTTAACTCCCGATGCCCATGGGCATTCTGATACTACATTTTATACAAAGTATAGTTGTTCATATCCATTAAGACTTATCAGCCTTGAGCACTTATCCTTGTTCTAGAGCTCATTCTATTCCCAAACCTAGGAAGTTTTACTAAGTCTGATTTGCATACTTGTCGCATATACCACCAGGTTAGAGGCATTATGTGCGTCGAAATATGCGGATGCTATATCCAACCAAATCCTTTCACCACAGAGTCATTTAGAATTATGAATATAGGTGGGTTCCCAACAGCCATTCGGATTTTTTGTTTTCACTTCTGTCAAAGGAAGAGAGGAGCAAAATTCATAATCACGGAGATTACTAAATTTATTAGGTAGAAGAATGGTGAGGTATTACACTATTACCATTATTATTAATAAAAAGAAAAAAATAGATGATAAATAAATAAATAAAGAGGGAAGAATATCCACTTTTTATTAAGTAATAAAGTTTCGTGAAAATTATGAAAACAATTTATAAATAAAATCATGAATATTTTGTGAAATGACCGCTGACAAAAACTTTCAAAAATTTTATATATTTCTATGAGTTCTATATTTCTTTCTCTTCTAATAATGAGGATTTGAACAAATTGTTTTTTCTAGATCCATGTACACTTCCAAAAGTGATTGGGCCATGTTCCGGCAAACATCAGCGGTTTTATTTCAATAAGGAAACGAAAAAATGTGAACGGTTTGAATTTGGTGGTTGCCTTGGCAATGCGAATAATTTCATGCAATTATCGGATTGCACTGCACGTTGCGATCTATATGCTGAGCGTGAGTAGACTATTATTAAGTATTTCTGGCTGAAAAAATTTTTCTAATAGCCAAATTCTTTTGAAAAAATTTTAATTCCATATAAGCGTTTTCGATACAAGTAGGGATAAAATAAAAATAAAAAATTGAAATACAAATATTGTTAGGAAACTATCAAAGGATTATATCGTTTTTTTCCTTCTGTCCCTATCTGCTTTAGATTTTCTTCATTTTTAAAATAGTTTAACCTCAAGCAATCAGTCTATATTGGTACCATGGATTTCACTCTGATATCAAAATTTTTATTTATTCTATCACAATATTATTATTCATTGCCATTTTATCAGCTTATTCCTGATGAATTTTTGACAGTTACTGATATAATTAAATTTATTAGCCACTCGGATGCGGTGAATGCTGGCATATTTCATTCATTTCATTTGAAGTATTTTTATAAAAATAATTCACAAATGTCGACCATCTAAATTATTTGATCCCACATTATCAGTTTGTCTACCAGTTTTCTTTCCAAATATCAGTAATGATGCGCATCGTCTATAGGTTCTGAATGAAATCTGATTCAACTAATTGAGCTCTGACTGAATCAGAATGATTTATAATTTTGTTGTATTTTGTCATATTTTTTCAGTTTTGCAATTGTTCTTGTTGTGTCTTCCTGTTCATCATTTCTTTTCGTCTTATCTTCCTTGTCAAAAAATATTCAATTTAATAAAATTTATATGAAATTTTCATCTTACTTTTTTTTGTTGTAATGAATATAATTACGATTTCAAATTACGGAGCAGTTTGGAAATTTCGCGGTAGTTTTTTTTAACGCTGGAAATTAAGATTAGTTTTCCACATTCTTCAATTAATTAGTTATCCTTCCTCTTCCCATACAACGTATTTATGTCTGTTTTCCCATTCTTAAGTTTTGTGAGAAAGTGCTACGTCCTTTTTAAGTCAGAATTATAGTATTTGTCAGAATTATATATAGTGAGTCTGATTTATCTTATGAAATGTTTTATCCACTGATTGGTGAAACGTGATTTATTATTGCCTTTCTGATTTAATTCTTACGTTTTATGTTCAATGGTCTCTGGCTGTCTCTTATCAAATCACCATTTCTCTGCCAAACATTTTCTTCTTTTGGATTATTCTCGTTCATATGCAGTTTGCTTTTTCTTTTTTTGATAAATAAAATAGCTATACAATACGGGGCGCTGTTGTTGCAATTCGAATACAATTATACATAAATCATTCGAATTTCTCAAACACTCAGATTTTCATGGGTAAAATGCTTTGAATTTGATGCATGCAATGTGTTGTCTCTCGATATCGTTATCAATAACAATTTTCATCAATTTCGCTTTTTTTCTTACTATCAGCTAAGATGAAAATGTTTCGTAAATGTTCCCTTATTTCCATTAAAAAACGCTAATTTCCTAATTGCTTATGTCGAGTTATCTTTTATGGAAATATTATTGTTATTGTTTCCTTTTTTTGGTGGAATTTGTTTTTATTTTATATTTTCACTGAAAAAAATTTTTTTTTAATTTCTGTTTTTCATTGTTTTTTGTGTGATGAACTTGAATTAACTTTATTTGACGAAATGTTCGATACAAAATCGAACATGCTATGTTGCATGAGAACATATGGCAAATTAGAAAACACGTGATAATAATAATGATAATAATAACAATAAATACAGCATGAAAATGAATGAATCTTCACAATGATTTGAGCCGATAAAAGATGTTGTAGTTGCAAAAAAATTTTATGGTTGAAGCTACAAATATTCAATTCATTTGTTCTTTTTCAGCAAACAAGGCAGATGAATCGCAGTCTTCAGAAAGACCCGCATTTTGTGCTTTGCAGAGTGAAACTGGTCCTTGTAGGTCAGCATGTTTTTTTTTTAGATCCAGTTAGAAAATTCTTTGCCTAATATAGTTTATAGTTTATTAAAGAATTCCGATCTGGTACTGCTTCTTTTATTTTCCTATAAAATTTTATTTTGACTGGTAAAATGACTTTTTTTTGCGTATGTACAATGAGAACTGGGTATCAGTGGATTGAAAATTGTTAAGGGTAAAAAGTGGTTTAAAAAGTGGTTTTATTCGTAGAATTTGGAAAAAAACTTCCTTTGGTGTTGAAGAACAATAATAGCTTGACAAGATATTGAGATAATATTTAAGAAGGGTCTCAAGAAAACTTTCGATTCATAAGGACAAAGCGAGGTCCACAACGGGCGGAAAACAAAGTGCTGCAAAAATAGAAAAATTATTATATTCACATATAACAATTACATTTGCGTTTCGACTTCATAATTTGAGTTCTTCATGCCATGTGCATCTTTATTCATGGGATTAGATCTTTCCGCCTTTTAAACTCATTTCAGTTAAACTTCAAGTGAATAGCAAGTCTGTAAAATTTAATACATATTTCAATTTAAAATTAAATTCTGTATTAATAATGTTTTCTCAATTAATTAATTAAAACTGTACATTTAATGATTTGTTAGAAATGTAGATGATTTTTATTAAAATTTAACTTAAAAATAGTTTAGAGGTAGCTTTAATCATTTCTATTACGATCCACAAGTACGCGATTGTTTATTATTTGCCTATGGTGGATGCAAAGGCAATTCAAATCGTTTTGCCTTTTATGAGGAATGCATGGATGTGTGTGGAGAAAGAACGTCGATGCAGGTGAATATTTATTTATGGTTATCCAATTTATCCAATTTTATTTCAATACAAAATGTAAGAAATTGTTTACAGAAATTGTTCTCAAAACTTTTCTTAAAAGAATTGTTGACGACCCAAAAGATCTTTTCAGATTACATCCATCGCTATTGGAAATTTTTTTATTAAATCAGTCTGTTTAAGATAACAGTCACAATAATCATAATATGTTAATTAACATAAATTTTTGCAAAAAGTAACCGTTTTTCTTGGTAAAAAAAAATTTAATAAGAAGAGAGGCGTTGTTCTTTTTATTTTCGCAAGTTTCCTTTACGTATGGAAAACAAATAGGGCCTTATGAAAATAGTTTTGAACCAGATGAAAACGTCTGAAGGACCCTCAGAGATGTGTGGATCACACTTTGATAACCATTATTTTAGGCAATATATTAAAATTTGGTAAATAATGCTACCATATTTCCTTATAATTTTGAAATTACATACATATTTAATTATGCGGGTTGAACAAGAATTATTATTACGAAAATTGCTTTATTTGATGAAAAGATAAATGGAAAAGTAGAAAAGATAAATTAATAAAACTAATACTTTCAAATTGCAATACAAAAGCCAAGAATTTGCCACTTTTTAATCGTTTGTCAACTCCTGAAGTTCATTTAAAATTCCTCCAATTTAACAATGAAAATTATTAAAATTATACTATTTCAAACTGCTTGAATTATTGCTCATTATTGAATATCTGGCTTAGATAAATATATATTCTAATATATTCAAGCTGATGAATTGACATAATTTCTTTTATCTGGAAATAAAAGTACGACAGCAAATATTATCCCACGATTTCCATCTAAAATCTTATTGGCAATAACGAATGACTTTGCAATTTACAGGATCTTACTATGCCAACAGGCAGCGATATGGAGATGACCGATTTAATGGACCAGAATAAATCAAATAATTATAGAGACCAAAATAACGATCCTGAAATAGGGGTTTTTCAATTCAGATTTAATTAATTCTTATTTTCGTTCAGTTCATTTCTTGATGATATTTTGAATATTTGTATGATATTTGTATAAATTTCAAGAAATATTAACGGAATATTAATTTGTTTTCTAGGACCAAGTTACTTATAGTGAAAGAATCAGGCAACAAAATGAGCAAAAAAATATAAATGAAGACAAATTCATTAAACAGTCGTCATCTTATCCGCAAACAGCTTTACCAGGTGGATTCTTAAATTTTGTTTTTAGCATACAAATTCTACAGCGAAAAAGTAAAGAATATAACGAAAATGCTTTAGAATTATGTTTGTTACCGGAGGATAGGGGTCCTTGTTTCGGTGAAATAGTACGTTGGCGATACAATTCAGAAATCTCCAGTTGTGTCACCTTTATATATACGGGATGTGACCATAATGCCAATTATTTTACGTCTGAAGAAGCTTGTGAACGTGCTTGCGGTTTATTTAGGAATCAAGGTTTATCTTGATTTTCTAGAAAATGGAGAAATTAGTTGGATTAAAAATTCACTCCTGCTGAAAAAATTAGCTATTTTCAGATGTCTGTTCAATGAGAGTAAATAAAGGAAGTTGTAATTTGGGCATAACTAAGTGGTACTTCAATAAAAATTTGGGTGAATGTCATGTTTTCATGTATTCTGGTTGTGGAGGCAATGGAAATCGATTTTCAAGTAAAGCGGAATGCCAACATTTGTGTTCTCTCGAGACAAAAATTTCAGAAGATGGTAATCTTTATTCGGTGAATCTTAACAATTGAACGGAATTAGAAAGTTGTTTAAATTTTAATGATACCATTTATCGTTTTATAGAAGATATATGTAAATTCGAACGGGACAGTGGCCCATGCATCGATGCTGTAACTCAATGGTACTTTGATAAAGAAGACGAGCAGTGTAAACAATTCACATATGGCGGATGTCGTGGAAATCAAAATCGATTTAATTCAAAAGATAGTTGTGAAAAGAAATGTGCACAAAAGCGAAAGAATCGAACTCTAATTGATGCACAAAATTCAGTTCTAAAATCTACTGGTAGTGCCTTTTTCATTCGCTTTTTTTGCTTCATTTTTCACTGATTTAGGTCACTGATGCACAACCTGCGGTCAGTTTTAAAAATCACTGTAGCACGAATTTTTGAACTTTTGGGAAAAGGATTTTTTTGGCTTTTTTTCAAGTTTTAATTTTTTTTGGCCTTAATTTTTAGTTCTAAACTATCTATTTTTGTGTTTTATATTGCTTTTTAATTTATTTTATTGAATTAAGCAGAGAGAAAGGTATTGTTTTACTCAAATATAAAAATTTTGCATATTAGTTGTTATCAAAGCGTGATATTGACAAAAGAATACAATTTGAAGCACCATTTTGAAAGAAAATGGTTCTCAGATTCTCATTCAGATTCAGATTCCAACAAAAAATATTACGACGAATTAAGGACGCATAAAGACGCAAAGCTAACAATTCAACAAAATATGTTTCAGTCATGTTCTGATGCATCTAAAGATGAAATGAGTTTCAGTATATCTCTGTCAAATGCGACATCAACGAGGCCTTTTCAGATTGAGATTTTCTGAAAAAATATTTAATGAACGTCTAAAACATTTTGCTGCAAAAACAATATGCCGAAATTTCAAGCCGTATGTCTCATTTATATGACCAAATACAAATGCGAGTTGCTGATATTCAAATGTGTTCAAATGTGTTAAAAAGATGAAGACTTCTGAAATCTCCAATGGATTTATTATTTTTACCTCGCCATTAACGAACGAATGTGACACCCACTGTCCAAATGACCATATTTGTTCGTGGTGCCACACCAAATTTTGAGATTCATGGAAATCTTTTAGAATCGTTTTCAAATGAAATTATCGGTATTCAATCTCAGCTGATCTTTTTAAATTGCCAGATTGAAAAATAAGTGCTCTTATCNTTTATTAAACTTCTATAAACTCTTCCAGAAAAAATCTTCCGAAATTGACAGCTATCTGTTCATCTGGAAATACATATATATATATATATATACATATATAAATTTTTCTCTCAATCTACTGTGGGTAGTCATGATCACCCTCAACTCCTCTACCAAGGCCCTGCTTTGGCTTTTGGCTTTTTCATTGCCAAATGAAAAGTAATTTTTCTAGTCCTTCATACATGAAAAATACATCACTATAAATTTTTAACGTAATATGTTAGTAATGTCATTTTAAACCCGTTCTTGCCACCTCAGTTCAGCAAAACGAAATTACGATCCTTGAACGCCGCCCAGCATATTTTTCCTTCAGATTTACATATTTTCTTTTCAATTGGAATTCTTTTCAATTGAACATTTGCAATTTCATATTTTCTTTATTTGTGGCATACGCTTTAAAACCGCTGAAAAGCGCTTTGTCAAAAAAGGCTGCTTTGGTGCAATATGAAATTGCAAATGTTAGATTCAAAGAAAATTAAGCTCTTCTCTCTTCTCCAAAAGGAAAGGTGGAGTAGGGATGTAGAGGTGTAGTTAAGTTGCTAGCATCACTCGAAGGAAAGTGTGAAAAATTCAAGGAGAATTTCTTTTCACTGATCTACATTTGAATTTCAGATATTAATATTGCAAATGACGCGGATGATTAGGCAAATTATTGCTAGTACTTTTTTTTCGAACATATTTTGTTTTTTGGATGAGTGGTTATTTAAAAAATTAATCTAGATACTTTTTTTTAAAGAGTCCTCACCATTACTAGTTAAACTCGCTCCGCTGGCTGGTCACATTGGACAAATATGCCAGGGAGTCCAAATATGCTTGGCGATAGAAGTACAGGTGAGTCACCAGCATCACCCGGTGATCTAGGTGCTTAGAAAAATTAAATTTCTGTATTCCGAAGAACAATTTTTTTCCACTATCTCTTCAGCGATGTTTCAGTGAAGACATTCTTATAATTGGATGAAAAAGGATATTTCTCTCCTCCGCTTTTATTTGTTTTCATAATTATCGTCATTCATTTAGCGATGTTTCAATGAAGACATTCCTAAAATTGGAAAATAGCAATGGTTTCGATCGGAATTTAGCAACTTTCTTATTCAAGTTTGGACTCTTTGATCCATTATTATTGAGTGCGTTTGCGGTTGATATTAATTCCATCTATCTAGATGGCTTGTTTTTTTATTTTTATTTTGTCGCAGAAAGCATTAGTTAGCCTTTGATTTTGTGGCTTTACGAATTCTGATGAAAATAATATTTTTAGCTACATAATTTCATTGTTAATTTCCGTTAATATTCTTGTTCTAGTTTTGTATTCTAATTTCACTTATGCTGTAAAGCCAGTCCATCTAATTTCAAATATGCTGAAATATATTTCTAGTAAAGTCGACTGAGATTTATGAGTCTATTTATTATTTTCAATAATCTTTGAGGGATACTTAATTAAAATTTCATTAAAATTTTTTTGCTTGATAATATTTATCAATTATTTTATTCTATTGTAAATTTGCCTGACAACTGTTTGGCATTGTAGTAATTGTTACTGGTTACTGCAGATTTGAACTGCATTACTACCATTTCATTACTGTTTTTTGAGGTATATCGGTTTTATTAAGCAATGTATGCACTATTTTTAATTTTTTTTAGCACATTGGTAGTGATAGCGTCAAAGATTTAAATCAGATGATCACTAACGGTAAAATATTTCGAAAAAATTAAAATTCTAGTAATTATTATGTCCTGATCCATTAAAGTCACATTAAAGCATTCAAATAAGATGAACTAATACGTTGCTAAAATAAAATGCTTCTTTAGACAGCCCTCTTTTAAAATTCTTTGTAATGTTGAACTATTACTACTAAATTTTCGTTTTTAATAGAGTTTCCATAGAGTTTTTTTAAAAAGGTTTATTTCAAAATATCCGATTAATTAATTACTTGTGAACCGTTCTTCAGATCTATTAAGTAAAACAAAATGAGTGGCTAATACTTATCTTTTCCAGTGAGCTAGATCCACTTGTAGCAAATTTTACTAGGGAATCACTTGCTTATAAAAGTGGAAGTAAATCGCTTTCATCACACTTTTTTTTTAATGACAGGTTTACTTCTGTCCATGGTAGTATCCTCTGAACATGATAATCTGAATCACCACCCACTCGGCTGTCCTTCTCACTTCTATTGGTTTACTATACAAATACCATTTAAATCTATTATGTGATTCTATCCTCGAAAAATTGGAGGAGAAACTTCAGTGGTGTTCTGGGCCATTCAAAAAAGAAACGGTTGTTAAGCAAATAAGTTAGCGCTATTTCTGGTTAACCTAATTCTGCTGATTAGAAATTTTTGCTAGGGAATCGCATTACCGAGTACGGACGGTTCGTTAGCCATATTTTTTATTGATAAGTTTGTGGAAGACAAAATCGAAACTCTGATGCTCAAAGCAATATAGCAATATGCAGGAATAGTGCTAATTGAAGAATAAAAATCCCAGTTTCGCAGATTTTTTTACGATTGATTCTATACAACTGATATTTCTGTTTTAGCTTGAAAAACAATATCGTATAGCTGGTGAATAATTCTGTTTTTGCGTAAGCAGCTATAAAATGATCCAAAAATTTTTATAATTGAATTTTATAAACAGAATTTTAATAATAGAATTTTATAAATTTGTATAATGAATGACAAAATGCATTTTTTACATTTTTTTACTACTGCACAGTGATATCAATGCTTTTCGTTCTGAAAATGAATTATTGCTTTATTGAAATATTTTAATCTTATTTTTGGCTTATTGCAAATATATACTTATATATACTTATACAAATAAAATTAAGTGATTAGCCATTTTCGGTTAAGCTAGTTCTGCTGGAGGCAAGAACGGTTAGAAAACGGCTGTTTGCCACTGAGTAATTTGGCAATAGTACAGATGGGTGGTAAACGCCACCTAAATTTTTTAATGGATGGTTGGTTTATTTCTTTTCAATCTAATCTGCTGTTTTTGCCGTCATATATATAATATAACTGAAGGATGAATCGAACGTTTTAACTTATCATTTTTTTTTACTTCAAGTGGCTTCTAATGACGAATGCAGCTAAATAAAACTGGCAAATCTTGCAATACGTCAAATTAGCTACCTTAATTTTTACTGCTTTAACTTCATCTTATTAATAGACCAGCATATTTACTTAAGTCCCATAAAAACTTTCATTTTATTGCATACTTAGTCCTATTACAACTAATTCATAATTCCAACCTCTTTGCTTTTGATGATCATTTTTCTATAGTTTTTTTATCTGTACAATTTTGATTTCGCTTATCATATTTCAGCATTTTTTCAGATACATAGATGCATTTGAAGATAATATTAAGCGTAATATTAAGTTATCTCTTCCTTTGCCTATAAGCATAATGCACCTATCAATTGCCATGAATTTAAGTCGAATCGTCCTATGTTTACTGTTTTCAAAAAAATCCGACGGATGCTAATGGTCTTTACCCGTATTATTATCCATATTATTCTACGATTGGGAATCTAAAAAAATATATGATGGCTAAGATTATTAATTATAATTTAGAAATCGTAAAAAAATCAGAAGTGAAAAGTTGTTATGTTAATAAAACTTAATCCTTTAGTTAGGATTTGTATTTCTTTCTATTCCTGAATTATGTCTTCGTATAACATATTTTAGAATAAGTGTATTATAGAAATCGTTTATCAAGTGAACATAGAAAATCAGAGTGAACGGACTGAACAACAGACTGAAGCACTTATAATTTTCATTATTTTTTATGCAAATTTAGCGTTCATCGCATTCAAAAAATCTTTACAGAATGGGTGGTCCTTTCTTTTTTCTAATAAACGAATTTATTCCATTAAATAAATATTTTTCTATATATATAATTTAATTTTATCAATTAAATGTATTCATATGCTCATACTTTAATTTTTATCGCAGAACTTTTCTTCAACTAGTTCATCGTAATTTTTATTTCACAATTCAACAAATCCATTGTTTATTCTCCACTCTTATCTGTTCTTAACTTACAACAGTTTGATGTTTTTTTTTTAATTTCGCTCTTTTCTGTGTCTAATTTTTAATCCATTTCTTATTGATATAATTCGGAACAACTGATTGAAATTGCAAAATTGCTAATATAATGAAAGAAAAAAAACTCATATCGGAAGAATATCATATTTTTATGTAAAAGCCTTATTTCCTTATTTAAAAATTTTTTTGTAGAGAATGGACTAATAATAACTGGAAAAGTGGAAAGTTTGTCTCAAAATTTTATAATGGATATTTTTTGGAAGAATATTGGTTGTTCTTTCGATCAATTACGATTTTTTTCAGCGAATTTATCATATTCTCGGCTTCTGTGCAAGTATCTTATAAATAAATAACCAGTAATCTTAATAAATTAACTTATAGAATTATTCGTTCTGAACAATCATTTTTTCGACGTTTTTTGTAAAAGTTAAGGCGATAATCTCTTGCAATTTCCATAACAGTTTTTTCATTATGACAGTGTATTTCAAATTACCCCTCCCACATCCCTCCCTCCTTAGATAAAGTAGCAATGCAAATTAATTTAATATAAAATTAATTAAAATAA